CTATGCAGACATACACAGCAAGCAACCAGAAAAACAGAAAATCCATTTCCTACATGGGAAAGGCATTGATCAGGTCATAGATAACTTAGGCACCAGACTTCAGATGTGAAACCTTCCTTTTTCATTTTTTTGGAAGAGGCTGTTGGGACTGGAGGGGAGGAGGTAGGAAGGAATGGAAGACAGAAGTGGACTGCTGAAATGTTTTAAGGAATTCCTAAACATATCAGCCCAGTGACAAGCATTCTCCCTCTGTATAAACAAAATAGGTACACTGAAGCCAAAAATAGTGCAAATATTGCTACAAATATCTGTCTTTTGGAAGAATTACCTATAATTAACCAGAGACAATACACTCTCTTATTTATACTGAGTTTTCCTCTTCTTTTGACACATTTTGCTCTAAACATTAAATGCCGTGGGCATTTTCTAAAACCCCAGCAAAATGAATAAGAAAGATTTAATTCTTTCTGTTCTTTGTTTCATTATTTCCTTAAATTGCTTTCTCTACCTTGACATTTTTCTCTCCCTCTCGGGTGATCCCAGAAGTAAGATTTATGTTTACAACTGATGGTTTATGATTAAGACATTGAACTTTGGTCACTGAATTAGTACTGTCTCTAGGTTCAGATATCCGGCAGCCACGCACGATCCCCCAGGGGACCTCCCATAACCAGGGTGCCAACTGGAGACGAATCCGGGCTGTAACCCTTAAGCAGTAGCATCCCCCAGTGGCCCTGGTTATCACTGCAGTGCAATTTTGAGGATTTTTTTTTTGGCTCTCTAGCTTGAAAATGTAAATGTCAATGTAAATTCAAGTGGCTCAGAACTAGCCAGTACTCAGAAGTCTGTTGAATTCAGTAAGGAACCGTAAAGAAAAATATTTCCCGTCATTGCATATATCATATGTGTATTGCAAAACACATAGGATTTTTTTTTTTTTAAATGCATTCAAAAAAGGGGAAATATGAGACCAAAAGAAAGACTCTTTATTGGAAATCCTTCTTGAAGAAGAGAAAATAGGTTCAGAGTTTGTTCCAAGAATATTAAGTTCTACAGCTTTTTTTGGCTGTTTTACAAGATCATGAGAAGAGAAAATAGGTTCAGAGTTTGTTCCAAGAATATTAAGTTCTACAGCTTTTTTTGGCTGTTTTACAAGATCATGGCTCAAGAAAAGGATACTATAGCAACCATCAATTTTAATCTGCCTTTTGATTGAAGTTCACATACTCAGAAAATACAGACCATCATATATATTGAATTAGAATTCTAAACCAAAAATGCCCGGCTGGTATTTTATTAACCCAATTAAAATTCAACCATGTTTTCAGAAATAAACAAGAACACACCAGCCACTGTTCTTAAACACAGCCCTTTGCAGAACAATCAAAAATTGCACACACTGGGATTGCTTTCCCTGTTCCCTAAATGAACTCAGTCAGTGACAAAAGGTGAATTAATGGGCTATTACGAAGTATTACTGGAAGGGATAGAGAGTAGGAGGAGGTAGAAGGGCAGGCAAATGATGCACAGATAACACGGATATGGGGTGCTTGCACCTACCCAGCTCCCTCCCACTCCAGAAGCAGAACAGTCACATTGCACAAGCCCTGAGTTTGTGTTGACTCGGTGGAGAGGGGATGGAGGGGGAAAGACGTGCAGGGCTGCTGGGTGAAGAGCCAGAGCAGCACTTCTGCACAATACTTTTGCACAGGATGAAAAGAAGGAATTTTCTCTTGTTGATATTGAAGGCCTCCAGTTACTTCTAACGCTGCAGCACTGGAGATGAAGGGCTGTTAATTAAAACAACCCATCTGGAAATCAGTGGGATTTCTACACTAGCTTCAAATTCAGCAGGGGATTACAAGCAGTGCAGAGCAGAAATCGATGAACATTTTTGTTGTCTCTATATCAGAATCTCACCAGACCTGATGTCCTGATGTCACCAAAGAGGTGACATGGTGTTACCCGGCAGGTAAGCCCAGCGAGCCTGTGGTGTCACACAGTTACTTCTTTTCCCGTGCTTACCCTTGTCACAATAGCTGAGGACATCCAGCAGAGTTTTGTAACAGATGCATTTTTCCACTCTCTGGCAGTGTAAAGCACTGAATACTTGAGACAAGGGGAAAATACACCCCAAACCTAATCCCCAGAACATATGTGCCTTGTCAGTAATTTAAGGGCTAAATGCTGGATCCTTCCTCTGAGGTAACCTAAGGGAAATCTGTCTTTCTCAGTATCTCTGAATCTGATCCTTCACTAGCAGCACTCAGACCAGAGTGTGAATGTGCTAACTGAGACATGACAAACCCATGTAACACCTCTTGCTGATATTCTGTTACTCTGTGGTTAAGGCTCATGAGGATTTTTGAAAGGAAGTTTATTTTTGCAAGCTGCTGAGTGCTGAGTATGACATGGGGCAGCTTTCACTTAGGCAAATGTCTTAACTTTGGTTAAGGCTCTTGGACAGACAGGCTATTAATGTGGCATTTACAAGGAAAGCCATGTAGATACACTTGGCTTAGGCTATTCATGTACTTAGTGAAAGTACATGTTGTAGGTTTTAACAAAAAATGGATGGCTATGGTCTGGCACAAAAGGAGAAGGCAGCTTTTTGTCTTGCCAGACACTACCTCTTCCCTTCTTTTTGCTAAAACCATTTCAGAGGTCCTGAACAATGCTCCTTATAGATTAGTATTGCTACCTAAAACACAAGGCCTGGTATTCAGCATGACAAATCAGTTTTATGTTGTTCATATGTCTATCTCTGCCACTTACATGAAGTGGATGATTCTGAAAAAGTTAGCAACCATCATAATGAAATCATACATTATGATACAATGTGTCACACAGCACTGAAAATTAATCCTGCTGCTAAAGAAATGGAAAATGCACAATAAACACATTACCTGAAATTAAAACTGGTTCTGACCAAATCTCCAGAGCCTTTAAAGTTGTAACAATGATTTCCTATTTATATGGACTGCGCGAATTCTCGGGTGATTCCCTGTGGAGATCTGTATGAATACTTTTTCCAGAGCTGAGGAAAGGAAAATAGGTAGCTATAATGGAACTGCAGGAGCAGCCAAGCAGTAGATTGATTCAACAGGAGAAATTCAATGTATCCCAAAGGATTTCCTAGGATTTGCTCTCCTGCTGCTTAGGGCACAATTTGCTGTAATGAGAAACTGTGGATTTTGTTTCAGGTGTGTCAAAGCTTGTAGTGATGACTTGAAGATATAAAGAAAAAGAAACAACTGAAAATCTCTTTTAAATAATGCTATTGCTTGAGGAGAGAATAACGAAAAGCCCTCCAAGATGCAAAAAAGGTCAGATATCTCATGTAAATAATTATTACCTTAAGAGATACTAATTGGATGCATAGTCGAATCTCTCATCTCCAAACTGCTGCATTAAACAGCTTGAAAACTATGGTACACTTCAGCAAGCAAAACAGAGAAAGCTTTATTAAATTATCTGGTAAGATTGCACTTGGTCTCACTCTAAGCTCTGCTCTCAGAAATGTCTGCAGAAAAAAAATTCTCAGTTTTCAGTTGTGAAGACCTGAGTTAACAACTTATAAAAAACTCAACCCAAAACAACTGAGGTTTGGGGGTTTTTTAATTTAATAAGGGAACATTTAAACCTGTAGGCTACTCTGTATCTGAAGTATGCCACAAGGCAGAACACTGGCAGGAAACATGTACTGCTGTAGTACTACATAAGCCCTGTATAAAAGGTTAAGTGGGACCTGCACAATGTGAATTTCATCCTGAAGAAATGTGAAAATTTTTAGGCACTCATGTCCTCCTCTATGAAAATGAATACTTATGATGAACACAGAGCTACTCCACAGCTGTGATGTACCATAGCCTATGCAGGTTTTATCAACAATCACGTTTTAGTGAAAGCTCTGAAACACTATGCTTCTCAAGCGAAGCTCTGAGTTTTCTTCAGAAACAGGCTGCCATATGGAATTTCCTCGGGCAAAATGCTGAATGCTGATGGCATCTCCATTTGATTGGGGAAAAGAAATGTTCATATTCACAGCAGAACATATTGTCCAGCTCTAGCACAACCCCTCACGCTTGTCAACATCACACATTGTATTGAAACATCACGTGGTGCACCAACAGAGAGAAAATGGATGCTCTAAAAAAATATCTTACTGAGAATGAACACTGATGTGTGAATGACATTGTACCTGGGCACTCAGCACAGGCTTACACTTAAGTACAAAAAATTCAGAACCCAAAGATGTGAATCTTCTAAAGCTTTTAGAACACAGACCAAAGCAGAAGCACCTGCCCTTTCTCTACTAGATGACCCTAGTTATATTACAGCTCCAGGTTCCAATCAGATTTGAGCCTTACCACATGATGTATGGTCTCCTAGACCATCCTTCCTTATGAACAAAACACCTTCAGACTCAGACACCCTCCCAGCACTTAACACAGGAACAAGTACTGATAAGGAGAGAAGAAAAGCAAGGTTCTTCACCACCTTGACCTCTTCCTAAAATAAGGACCAGGAGCTTTTTATTTTTCAGTTGAAATTGCATTTTGCAAGGCTTTTTTATTCTTTCTGTAAAATCTACGTATAAAGTATATGGAGAATATACATTATTTTAACCAGCTACCTGTCCCTCACTTTTGTCCCACCTCAGCATGAAACACTGATACCCTCATGTAAATGGAGCCTGGAACAGAAAGTCAGTTTCTGATCAGAGATGGGGCAGCATCTGAACACATGAAAAAGCAAGAAGATAATATCAGTTGTTATTATTATTATAGTTATTATTATAGTTCCTGTTATCCTTTTATTTGCTTTTGGCCTGACTGTGAAAGCAGAATGAATGTTCTGCTTCATTCACTAACCTAGAAAGCAATGCAAGATATACACAAGAAATAAAAACAGTAAGAAGCATCAAGATGAAGCAGTCTTCACTTGTAATGAAGCTCTCTCCCATCTTTGGGACCGGCTGAACCAATTACATCCCTTACCTGTATGGTTCCAGGGTCCTGCTGCCGTAATACAATGCTTCTTCCCATGATTCAAGGTTAATACAGGCATCCATGGCACAGTCAAGCATTTTCAGCTGATAGATATTTGTGTCTGGTAGATGACCCTTGTTGCTGCTCAAGAGATTCTGGCATCTTTCCAGAACATGCTTCCACTCTGTTATTTGCGTCAGTTAAAGAAATACATTTAATCAAACAAAAATACAACTTCTAAATTCTGTTTAGCAAGGAATGAGAGCCTCAAAGCATTAAAATAGAAAAGTTGCCATCATTCCAGACTCTGCTACAATTCTTGAAAATGTACTTAAATGCTGAAGTGGTAGCTTAGGTAACTGTGTTTTGTTTACATGTAGCAAAACGATTTCTAAAGAAGGCAGTATTTTAGCAGTAAATGGAAAAAGAAAGATGACAAACTGCAATTTTAATACATAACAGAAATTCAAATAACTTTAATTTAAGTACTGAAACATTATTTACTTAAGATACTCCAGTTCTTAAAGCCAAGGGCAAGAGACCACAGAAATTTCTTTTAAAAAGTCCCAGCAGCTAAAAAAAGAATTTTAAAAAATATATATATTTTAAAATAATGACTCATTCTTTTATGCTGTCCAATTTTTTAGAATTCTCATGAAATTAGAACTTTTTCTTGAAATTAATTAATTTTCTCCTTGAAACAGTCATGAAGAGCATTGTGGGTTTTTTTTCATATACAGCTGCACGTTTCATGCATGAAAAGAAAAGCATCACAGTCTTGATGTCTGACTGTAGTTCAGGACTAATGATATTGGCAGTAAAGGAGATTTTCACCTCCATTGCAGCAAGATTTTCTGTGAGTTTGGAATGGAGGAAAGATAACCTTACACTCACTTTCTTTGGATATTCCTTAGCACAAATCACAATTTCATTACATTTTACACTGATTTGACTTCTCTGTGGACCAGATTCTTCTCTCTGTGACAACATCTAATCTGAACTCCAGAACTTGCAGTTTTCAAATGAGTATTACCACCTGTGATTGTACCCATGGGAGTCCCAGAATGCAGTCTAAACACCAAAAGGATACCACTCACATAAGTAAGAAGAAATGAGATAAAGAAAAAATTAGACTTATAGCAAGAGAAGAGACACACTGGTAGCCCTTTCCACACAATCAGCTCAAGGAAGTCCAGCAGTTATCTTCACAAATTATTGCAAGTACTATTCACACTAGTCCAGCAATGAATTTAAAGTGCACAATGACTGTGATGAAGTAATTAGTGTGTCTTGAACATGGGAATATTTACATACTTAAATTTAAGAATGTGCCCACCATGGGCCAAGATTTATAGCATGGTTGTTACAAGGCGAAACTAATTATTTGTGAATTGCTCTCATGCCCTTGGATTGAAAGAGCCATATAAGGGAAGGAATGTGTTATTATAAAATTGCACCTTAACCTTTATATCTTTGGCAAACATCCATGTATTCTTTACAACTGATTAAGGATAAAAACCCAGAAGAATGAGGGATGTTATTTCCACTTGATACAATTTTTGTAGAAAGTACAAACCACTGACATTCTTGAAAAATTACCATTTTAGCTGATGCACAGTATGTCTGCTGTTACTTCTCATTATTCTGCTTTGTTCACTCACTAACATCTGATAGCAGATGTGCTATATAACAAAATCTCCTGGGACCAAATTTGCAGGTATGTAGAACTGCAAAACTAGAAAACCTGCCATCAGCTGCAATAGTACCAAAAAGCTGCCTGTCCTGCCTCTGCCCAGGAGTAGAGGAGGACTGACCAAAACAGCTCTAACTTTAAATTTAGCATTACAGCACCACATCAGTTACAATCAGTAGATATACCGCCAGAGTGTGGGAGTCACCAACTTTCTCAACTGTAGAAACTGTTGGTTTAATTTGTTTAAAAAATTGTGTTTGCAGGAACAAATAACTATGTGCCTCAGTCTGCCAGGAAGGTTTTCTACTCATAATTGGGAAGTGGACAAAAGTCAAGTTCCCTCTTCAATACTGCACTCACCACTGCATGTCAGTTCACACTGGTATTGTGGTGCAGTGGAAGGAAATATGACACATTTCAAATAGTGCAGGACTGAGAACAGAAGCTGAAGAGACAGCAAAAATAGATTTTTCCAACCAGTCCTGACACCTTCTATTACCATGTGTTTGATTAATTTTCAAGTATCAGTTACACCAGTAATCTTAATTAAAGACAGTTGCAAAATGCATTAATGCAATTTCTCCTGCAATTAAACACAAAAACATTAAATAGGACCAGTATTCTGACTGCATAGTTTAAGAACTATTGCAACTTCAGGTTGCATATCTATAATTTACATTCAGGTTGAAACATGGGCCCTGAAGATCTATTTCAGTACTGTCTGTTTCAATCCAGTGACTACAAAGGAATTTAAAACAAAGTAGAAATCATGTGAGATTAAAACAAGGTGAGATGATTGTTTCCCCTTTGTTAAAAAATTAATCTCTCTGGATTAGAAAGAAACAAACTCAGTGTTATGGGTTGGGGTTTTTGTTACCTTATAAATTGTGATCACTTGTTTCCAGCCTGGAATATCACTATGCAAATTTGCTTCTCATGCTGCCAAAAAGGACTACTGGAAGATTAAATTCATTTAGCTTGAGAGAAAGCCTGTGCTTCTGAAAATGGTAAGGCATCTTGCCACAACAGGTCAAATTCCCAGTCAGAGAAATTCCACTTAATAGACCAAGATAAGAAAGATATCAATAAACTCATAGTTTTCTAATAAAAAGCTCCACCTCTCTTCTGCTCATCATTTCTTGGTTGCTGCTGTTCACTAATTTCTTTAATTGGATTGAATATCTACATGACAGCCGTTAGACTGCAGTTCTGTTTATTAGTGCAAGATCATTTCATTCAATTTGCTTAATTATCAATTATTATTATATATTATTATATCTTGTTATAATGATGCGATCATGTCTGCTGTGAACCTGTCTGTGATTATTTCCTTGTTATTGTCATTGCTGTGCAAAGAATGAGAATCTTTAAATATTCACACTGAGAGTAATGGAACAAAGAATTTAACAACATTCCAAATTAAGCTTTCTTTCATTTAGAAGTGGATTTATATGAAACTGTGGGCTGTGATAGCAGAAATCTAAATCAGAGCCAAAATACCCCTTCACATTCTTTGTAGTTACTATCACTGCCACAAATCAGTTCCATTCCAAGTAATCAGGGACTCTATTATTAATTAAGATCTTTATACATTTTAAACATCAAATGGAATAAAAAACATTACAATAAAAATGATGTAACTGTAAGAACATTTAATCTCAAGAGATGAACTGCATACTAAGGGGATCTTTTCACAACTGAATGACAGACTGTACCCTGCCACTGAAAGGATACCTTCTTTTGATTTTGGATATCTCACTGCATTTACAGCATCTTTGACTTCTTTCCAGACTTGCTCTTCACCAGCCAATTTCTCAGCATCCTGGTTAATGGAAAAAAATGCATATAATGAGAAAAAGAGTAAAATGAGAATATGCAGTAATGATGAAAAATAGGGTAAAAGGATTTCACTGTTAAAAGCTATGTGTAGAGAGTGTATTGCTATTTCTTGTAAACACAAAAAAAACCATTTCACTTGGAATTCACACTTACCTTGTTTTTGCAAGCACATGAGATGATATAAAGAAAAACAAAGGCAAACTTGGAAACATTAAGCACTCCAATCAGATATTAAGTTTGGAACAAGAACTATGATCAACCAGAAGAAAAGAAATAAAAGCAGGTTTTACTATCAAAATGCCTTGAAGAGATCAATTTTTTCAAAGACCTGCTACCTAAGACTTCCCTTTAGCACACTGTAAAAGGATTTTGCAAATAATTTCGATTTATCACATGATGATTATAAAGACAAACAGTGGGAGTTTAGCTTCATCTATTACAGTTATAAACATGAGGTTTCAGGAGAAGTCTACAACTCAGAAAAAAGCTAAACTTTCATTTAATAAAATATTACTATTTCTTCCCTAGTACACTGGATTCTACAAACAGCTACATTTTCCTATCTCTTTATCATAAAGGAAGCAAAAATTATTAATGGCTACTGCAGTAAAGAGAAAGTTTCTCATTTCAGCTATGTAGCAGTGACTAACAAAACCTTAGGCAAACTGCTTGGAACAAATGCATTAAAGCATCTACAGATGCAATTAAGCATCTTGTGGGATTTCCAAAAGCATCTAGCTCTTCAATTTCCATTGCCATAGAACTTAAATATCTTTAAAAATCTGGCCTGTAATACACTGCAGTTCATTGCTGCTCTCTCCTTATAAAAGGCATTGCTACTTTGTCTAAGAGTTTTTTTAAGTGCTAAGTCTTGCAGGAATATTTTAAATTCAGTTCTAAAAAGATCAGCCTTCAGCAGGGATAGAGGCCTGCAGAGGAACAGAGAAGTGTGTTAAAATCTAACCAAGCACTTTGTAACCAACAGATGCTCACCAGGAATCACAGAAGTACCTCCACTGAAAAGCTTATAATATGTAACTGCTTAGAATTGCCTCATTTTCTTATTCCACTGCTCCCCATTTGCCATAAATTCAGAAAAAAATTAGTGAGATTCAACACTCAGTTTCACATTTAATTTGCAGTTTTGACTTTCCATCTGCTTCATGAAACAGCAGACCTCTGTGGATTCCTGGGATGATTAAATCAAGACTAAATCAAGGTTGTTCTCAGCTGCCCTACCCTTCTGTAGGGCCTAACAAGGAGGGTGGCCTGACCCCACTGAATTTTGAACGTGAATTTCCTTTACAATCAATTCCCTGATCAAAATGATCACCTGGAAATAATTTTGTGCAGAGCTGAGTTTGCCACCAGCAGGCATAAGGTGAATGTTAGGACAAACGAGCTCATACCACAGAAATTTTATCAACACATGAATGAACCTGCACAGCCCTCTTCCAGCTTTGCAGTAGATGTACACTGAACCTCTTACTGCCAATGTAACCTCTGCTGGTTTTTATGGACTACATCTACTTCTGAACACAGCCTGTTAACCTGAAACAATCTCTTTAAAACACCTTTGTGGCCCAAGCGCTGCTCATTGACTCATCTAAACAAGATATCCAGCCTATAAGATACTAATAATGAAGTCTGTGAAGACTTCTGTTTAAGGAGCTACCAAAACAGAAAAAATGTTTTAAGTTATCTTTCTTACTTGCCCAAGCATCATTCAGAGTGTTTCGCTAACATGTTGTAAGCCTAACAACTAACACCTCAGAAAAACAGGAGTTGAGAGAGAGATTTATAACTGAAAGAAGGAGAACAACTATGAAGCAAGGCCAAAGAATTTGTACAGAGCAAGACTGATGGATGAATGACTAAAGTGTTCACTCAGATGAGATTAATCCTTCTCTGTCTAGTGCAGCTTTTTGAGTTACTGTTGTCTTCTAGCATTTAATTAGCAGCATAAAGCAGGGCAAGGTTGGGGTTTCCAACCTTCACACTAGTGCACAGGGTTAAGTCATCACTGGCTTCATACCCAGGTAGAGAATAGAGATGTCTGTTGGACCAATAATCTCCCAGTCCTCTCTGGATTCATGGTCTTTATCCCTTTTGTATGAGAGTTTAGGATGGAGGGAGCTGGGCAGGAGCTCTGGGAAAGATGTGAGTCACAGGTTTCAAATAGATGTTTTCTGTGTTCTCAAGATGAGGCATTTTAGGGATTGGCTGATGTAAGAACAAAGAAAGATATGGCTAACTCGGCATTTCACACTTCTACTGCTCTTCATCAGATTTCCATATATGAAAGAAGAGCTGTCCTTTCCTAAACGGTCTAGATCTGGGTATGAAGGCTGTTTCCAAACAGGCAGCCAAGTAGGGGCTGCAAAACAACCAGGAGAAGTTGTCACTGGGAACACTGCCCTGTATCCTAATAAACTTTCTCCAGGTAAGATATTTCTCTCCCTTGGAAAACACCTTGAAAATCATGGCCATGCAGTATGATTAAGCCAGCTAAAAACACAAAGCTGCCTTGGAGTCAGAATTATGAAAATAATTGACATGATTAAATGCTATCCTGAACATTTTAATTCAATCTAAGAGCATGGCAATAACAGCTACGGGAGATACAGCTTTCCATGGAGTAACTCTCTTTCAAGGCATCTCTTTTGAGAACACATTCCCAGTCAAACCTCCAGGTGTGCAGACCTGCCAACACTAAAGACAGACTTTTTTCATTTATAGAAAAGAACACCAACTGAAGGAAAAAAAAAGGTTTTTGAAAAAGAAGGAAGAGCTGGCAATTTCTGCCTAATTATTTTCCTTATTTCTAACTCTGACACTAAACACAAGAAATTGCTTCTCAGAACAATAAAATATTTTTGTTTTGGTCCATAAAATAATTAAACCATATAGTCTATTCACAAAGCATTAACAAAAGAGAGAGAAAAAAGAAAACTGTAGGGTATCTGATGAGGATTGTAACCTGTTTGAAGATTGGTTAAATATAAAATGATCTGCAGTTCTAGCTTTAAGTGATAGGAAGTCTTATTATAACTTTAATAATTAAAATTTTTACTATAAAGCCTCATCTCCTAAAGCAAGTACAGACATCAAATACCACAGAAATTAGCATTTGAAAATAATCACCTGTTCCATTCTCTAGTATTTCTATCTAAGAATTATTTCTCTCCCTATCTTTTCTGCTATTTGAGTTTCCTGAAAACATTCCATCCTTAAAGGAACTCTCCTTGGAAAGGAGTGTAATCTACAAATTCTACATATCTAAAGATAAATGCTTCTCTTTCCTTCCTGTTCCTTCATACCACTCCTCTTCCCCCAATTACGTATCTGTTTCTTATACTTCCTAAAATTGCTCTCTGTCCATTAATTTCAGGCACCACTGCTTTCACACACGTTGTTAGTGATCACTGCTCTTTGTGATCCCAGCATTAAAAATCCTGATTTCTAAAAGATTCCCACGTGGACAGCATGTCCTCTGAGAGAAGATATTTCTCTTACCAAAACAAACACATGCTAACCAGTAAGTACCATTGCCCTCTCCCCAAAAGTGCTTCCACTGCTCATTCATTGTGTACTGCACCTCCAAAAGCCTCCTGATCGTGGGAAAGATTGATTAAGGACTAGTTCTCCTTTCCTATTTAGGTTACAGTATAGATAAAGACATGGATTTTCAGTCCTCTCTACGACATTCATCTTTCTTCTTCTCATAGGTGGAGGTAGAGAAACAAACACAACATTGCCCACAGAGAGGAAACCATGAAGCTCTCCTCACCTCCCTTCAGAGCAGGGAGAAGTGGTGACCAGAAAATCCAAGTGGTAAATAACCCCTATACTTTTTTTCCTTCCCAGCATTCTTCCTATTTGAAATGTGTCCAAGGGCATCTTCATTATATGCCTGTTTTCATTATTTAGGTATCCAGTCCCACATAGGCAGAAATAAGCAGGTATTAGACTTCCAGGCTACCCTTAGATAAGTGAGAAAGAAGGACTGAAGTTTTTCCTGACCACTATCTGCTCTTCTAAATACACAAAGGGATTAAAAGAGTGCAATGTAACCACCAGCAAATGTCAGTTTTACAAAGGATAAAAACATATAAACCATAGTTTACGTGTTGTATATATAGAAATTAGGGGTCTAACAAGAAATATTATTGAATATGATATTTTTCCAAGATTGAAAAATCACAGTAAATAATAATAGATTTTTCTGAACACAAAATCTATTAAATAATAACAATAAAAAACACAAAATCTATTAAATAATAACAATAAAAATAATAATAACAATAATAACAATAACAACAACAACAACAACAACAACAACAACAATAATAATAATAATAATAATAATAATAATAATAATAATCCTGTGTGACAGCAGCAGATAACCCTATTCTCTTTCTTGGTGGGAGCTTTAACTTTTAAGTTTTCTGAATTGTAATACTTTAACACCTTAGTGGATATCTCAAATACCTAAACATTTCATAGAAATTGTTGTCCATTGCTTATGATTTGCTTAATTTTTTAAAATTTCTAAAAATGTAAGCAACTACAGATGTGCATCTGAACAGAACAGAGGAGCTCATACACATTTAAATCTGAGCACGACATTTTAGAACTGATCTCAGATAATCTGAAAGCATAAATAATGATTTTCTATTTCTGATTCTATTTAAAAGTGCAGGAGCTACTAAGTGTTTGTTTCCAGTAAACTTGGTAGCTCATTGCTAGACAGCAAAGAAAAGCATTAACGGAGTAAAGACACTGCACATCTTCTGAAGTTTCCCTTTCAGAAAGATGAAGAAAAATGTCAGTGAGAAAATGTAATATGCAAGCTGTGATATGGCAGCTATACTAAATTTCTGACATGAGTTTTTCTGAGCAAAAAAGGGCATGAGGGCCTGCTGGGCAATCACAGGTGCAGGCAGCTACAGACGCAGCAGAAGAAAGCACACTTGAGTGCTT